TCTGCTGGGAATTTCAAAATATTTTGGATCCTGAGATGGAATATCTGGAATATCTTTAGCCAGTACCTCGGAAGGCATCCAGTAGGACTTCTATAAAAGCATTAGAAAAATAAAATACAAACTAAAAGAGGGAAAAAAATGCAAATTCGTTTCAAGACATTCAAACCCTTTTAAAATGCTGTTGATGAAAAGGACCACCTGTATTCGTAAAACATTAAGTCTTTTAAATACAAAATCTAATCAACAACTCCGCCGTGATCGGTGCCAAAACACAGAGGACGAAGGTTAGCCGAAGACCAGCTGCCTCACTTGTAAACAAAAATGCTACAGATACGTCAATAAGAATGTAAAAAAAAAAAACTCAGCGCAGCAACACGTGTGAAGACACGTGGCCAAAATCAATATTCGGAACATTCCGAACAAGGAAGAAGAAAATAACCTCGTTATTGGGAGATGCGTAGTCCAGCTTTAAAAAAAACATCCAAAGTATTGGATACACCTGGAAGCAAATGGGGATGAAGTACAGCGTAAAGATGAATGAAAAAAACAACAACTTTTGTAGACTGTATGTGCTCTAGCCGGGGTAAAAGGCATGAATAAAATTATGAATAAATGAATGTCATTATAACAGCGGTTCTCAACAAGTAGGTGGTGACCCATTTGGTTTGGGGGGGGGGGTCGAACGACTCTTACACGGGGTTAAGCTAAGACATCGGAAAACACATATTTATGAAATATAACAAAGAACATATTTCTATGTCTGGGGTCGCCAAAACATGAGGAATTTTATTAATGACTCTCGGCATTAGGAAGGTTGAGAACCATTGCATTATAACTTTACACCAAGAGACTACTAGACGCTGGGCTTTTCGTATCTCGCCAGTCTGAGGTGTAAATTTGGTAAACACTCTTTTGAATAAGGAATTAAAAAAAAACAACAAAACCCAATGACATGGTGGTAAACTAAAAACGTCCAGACGTCACGTTCGCAACCAAAAGATTAGACTTACTGTTAAGCAGAAGTAAAAGGGCCTCGGGATGCCATAGTCCCCCTTGTAGACCTCCTCAAAGTACCACGACAGTACAAGGCAGAGGAATGCGTTTAGTAACATGCAAATAATGCCGTCGAGAATCGAACCGCCTCTTAAGTCTTTGTCGTTGATGTTGCTGAATGTGGAGACCACGTCTGAACGAGATCCAGGGGGCAAACGGGTGGGGGCGGGGTAAGCGTTAGACTGGATTTATTTGTAACTTTGACGTCTGAATGATTGTGTGAAATAAAATAAATGTTTACGAAATTAATTTTCCTCCGAGTACAGGACTGTATGAATGTAACGACGGGTCTGTATGAATGAAATGACAGGTTTGTATGAATGTAATGACAGGTTTGTATGAATGTAATGACAGGTTTGTATGAATGTAACGACAGACATATATGAATGTAACGACAGGGATGGTATGATGTAACGACAGAGATGGTATGATGTAACGACATGACTTTATGGATGTAACGACAGGGATAGTATGAACCATAGGACAAGAGAATCTATCAACACAAACCATTGGACAAGTGAATCTATCAACACAAACCACTGGACAAGTGAATCTATCAACACAAACCACTGGACAAGTGAATCTATCAACACAAACCACTGGACAAGTGAATCTATCAACACAAACCACTGGACAAGTGAGTCTATCAACACAAACCACTGGACAAGTGAGTCTATCAACACAAACCACTGGACAAGTGAATCTATCAACACAAACCACTGGACAAGTGAATCTATCAACACAAACCACTGGACAAGTGAATCTATCAACACAAACGACTGGACAAGTGAATCTATCAACACAAACCACTGGACAAGTGAATCTATCAACACAAACCACTGGACAAGTGAGTCTATCAACACAAACCACTGGACAAGTGAGTCTATCAACACAAACCATTGAACAAGTGAATCTATCAACACAAACCATTGAACAAGTGAATCTATCAACACAAACCACTGGACAAGTGAATCTATCAACACAAACCACTGGACAAGTGAATCTATCAACACAAACCACTGGACAAGTGAATCTATCAACACAAACCACTGGACAAGTGAGTCTATCAACACAAACCACTGGACAAGTGAGTCTATCAACACAAACCACTGGACAAGTGAGTCTATCAACACAAACCACTGGACAAGTGAGTCTATCAACACAAACCACTGGACAAGTGAGTCTATCAACACAAACCACTGGACAAGTGAGTCTATCAACACAAACCACTGGACAAGTGAGTCTATCAACACAAACCACTGGACAAGTGAGTCTATCAACACAACCCACTGGACAAGTGAGTCTATCAACACAAACCACTGGACAAGTGAGTCTATGAAGAGAATATTTCGTGGCTGATGTAAAAGAAACAATTGCGACCTGTGATGTGTGCACATTGCAAAGCTCGTCTTAATTTTGATGGTTTTTTTTCTCTACAGACTTAAATCCGAAATGATTCCTTATTACATGGGCTAAGCTAGGGACATTGACACATCTGGAAGCAAGATGGGGCGCACACACATGTTGTCTTGGGGAACGAGTCCCCTTCTTGGCGAGCACAGAAATCATGACAGAGTCTAAAAAAAATTCTTTTTAGGCTCTACAGGGCTGATGTGTAGTAGGAGACATAGAGACGATGATAGAGTCTAACACTCCTTTTCTTTTATAGCCTTTACAGGGCTGAGGGAAGTAGGAGACATGGAGACGATGATAGAGTCTAACACTCCTTTTCTTTATTGCCTTTACAGGGCTGAAGTGTAGAAAAAGCCAAATGCCACTCACAGCGTGTTGAAATGTTTCCAAGTTACTTTAGATCCTGGCTTCTTTTGCATCACAGTCACAATGTACAGGACATAAACACTGGTATTTCGGAATCAATAAACGTTTTTAAAACCCTACAATCCTATAAATAACATCTGATCCTATCAAACATTTGTATCAAATCCTAGCAAAAAGATAAAACAACCGAACTAGCCAAACAAGAACTAACCAAGTGTTTTCAAAATATTATATCCAAGGAGGTCCGGCTATTTTGAGATAATACCCAGTAGATCCAATTGTTCCACAAAAAAAGTTAACTTCTAATTTTCTATAAACAATAGGCCTACAGACAGTCCTACACCCTACCAGCCGGCCTTTAAACAAATACCTTACCCAGCTGGTCTTAAAACAAAAGTCCTACAGACAGTCCTACACCCTACCAGCCGGCATTTAAACAAATACCTTACCCAGCCGGTCTTAAAACAAAAGTCCTACAGACAGTCCTACGCCTTACCAGCCGGCCTTTAAACAAATACCTTACCCAGCCGGTCTTAAATCAAAAGTCCTACAGACAGTCCCGGGACCCTACCAGCCGGCCTTTAATCAATAGTGCTACAGATAGTCTTACATTGTCCTCGTGGTGCTTTATTGATTGAAGCGTGGCAGCTTTTTTCTATCTCTCAGTATTATGGATAGTAAACATGTCGAGTAGGAGGGAGGCTAGTTGTGAAGAGGAAGCAGGACACACCAGATGCAATATATATATATATATAGAGAGAGAGAGAGATAGATATTTATATACATATATATAAAAGATGTAATTAACTGATGCTCACAAAATTGTACCCAACTGTTAATCTAATGTTTTCCACCAACCCTCTACCACCTCATTACGCTCAATTAGCCGTAAGTGGTTGATTTCGGGTCAACGGTAAAATAATAACTCCGCTCGCTCAAACATCAAACACTAAATGCAAGTCAACACACATCAAGCACAAAATGCAATAATTACTCCGCTCGCTCAAACATCAAACACAAAATGCAAGTCAACACACATCAAGCACAAAATGCAAGTCAACACACATCAAGCACAAAATGCAAGTCAACACACATCAAGCACAAAATGCAAGTCAACACACATCAAGCACAAAATGCAAGTCAACACACATCAAAATTAACATCACGGATTGGGACCGTCACGCAAGGAAATCCCCCAGACAGCCTCAACATCATCTTCTTTATCATTCATTACAGTCAACGAAAATTGAGCAATTTAAACAAGCTCTTCTATAGTTTAACTCGGTTTATATTATTTTTTTAAAGGGGGGGGTGGGGGGGGGGGGGGGGGGGGGGGGGGGTGGAAGAGTCTTGGGATGTCAGTGAATTTTGAACGTTTTTTTTTCCGGGTTCAGCAAAAATCCCCGTGAAATGGGGATCCCTGCTACTTGCTGAAAGGTAAATATAATTAGAACAGATATATTTGAACCTGAGATTTGTTGAGTTCACGTTTGTAAAACTTAAGGCCAACTCGATGTTATAGATTTTTCCACAATAAACTAAAAATGAGCCTTAGAATCAGCTGGTGACTTGGTCGACAAGTAAATGCTCAAAGTAATTATCAGTTTAGCCGAACACCTCTGTTGGTTATCTTACCCACTCTTTCACTGTGTTTTAGCTTTGTGACAGCTGTAGTGTACTCAAGCCAAACACCTCAGTTGGTAATCTTACCCACTCTCTCATTGTGTTTTAGCTTTGTGACAGCTGTAGTGTACTCAAGCCAAACACCTCTGTTGGTAATCTTACCCACTCTCTCATTGTGTTTTAGCTTTGTGACAGCTGTAGTGTACTCAAGCCAAACACCTCAGTTGGTAATCTTACCCACTCTCTCATTGTGTTTTAGCTTCGTGACAGCTGTAGTGTACTCAAGCCAAACACCTCTGTTGGTAATCTTACCCGCTCTCTCATTGTGTTTTAGCTTTGTGACAGCTGTAGTGTACTCAAGCCAAACACCTCTGTTGGTAATCTTACCCACTCTCTCATTGTGTGTTAGCTTCGTGACAGCTGAAGTGTACTCAAGGCAAATATCTCTGTTGGTAATCTTACCCACTCTCTCATTGTGCGTTAGCTTCGTGACAGCTGTAGTGTAGCCAAAGCCAAACATCAATATGCCTGCTAAATAGGTCAAGGCCGTACTGTTGATACGTCGGTAGAGACTTCTTGATAGCCAGAAGAATAGGTAGTTCATGATGAAGATTGTACTCACGTCATTCACTGAATTCAAGAAAAAAATGGGTTATCAACAGCGTTAGCAAATAACACATAAGCGAATAAGCAAGATTTAACAAATAGAACATGTTGTTCGTCCGTCAACTACGACTTGGACCATCCAGTCATCTGGTTAGGGGTGGGGGTCACGGTAAGTTCGTAGGTGGCTTGCTATTTTGATCTGTGCCCTGAAAAGTCTCTCGCAGGGGATAGTTATAGCTGTGGTCGGTGATCTAAGGTTGCTCTTTCGGGCGTGTCTCAGCTGTGGCCCCCCTTCTGACTTCATGAGATTGAGACTCCATCCAAAGGAGTTGAGACTGCATCATGGTGGTGAAAATGCTAGGTGGGTTCGCTCTAGGGAGGACCCTCGTGTCAGGCACTTTGTTTTACCACCTGATGCCGAGGAGTTTCCCGAGACAGGTTGTGTGAAATAGGTTAAGTTTCTTAGCGTGACGCTGGTAGACTGTCCACATTTCACTTCCGTAGGGCACTGTCGAGATGACTGCTGCGCTATAGACCTTGATCTTCGTTTCTCGTCTGATACCTCTTCTTTCCCAAACAGAGCTGTGGAGTCTGCCAAATATTGCACTAACTGTTGCGAGTCTGGGATCCATTTTTTCTGTTGACGTCGTTAGTTGTTTTCTTTGCATTTAGTTTTAAACTTGTCAAATATATCATCTCAAAAGAAGAACAACTAAGAGACTCGAGTCCGGTCTTTAAACATACCCGAGAAAACTTACATTTACAATGGCAGGAGGAGAAAAAAGTGACAGTTTTTGAAAATAAAATAATAAATGACAAAATAATATTAATAAAAAATAAAAAATCGCTCTAATTTATATTATCGATTCAGCATAAGAAGATGGATGCAATTCAGCGCATAGTCAAAACAGACACTCTTGATGTCAGCAGCTGGATGCAGTTTAGCACGTTGTCAAAACAGACACTCTTGATGTCAGCAGCTGGATGCAGTTTAGCACATTGTCAAAACAGACACTCTTGATATCAGAAGCTGGATGCAATTCAGCACATCGTCTAAACAGACACTCTTGATGTCAGAAGCTCCTGAGAACCCCGATGAGAACAGAACACTGTCGCACTCGAATTTTTTGTAACAGATTGAATTCTCTTAGGGACCCGAGCAGTGGGCAGACACACGAGACGGCAGTGCACTGGCTGGCAGACTTTCCGACACTGCGAGCATACGTTACAGATATTAGGGCATTTGCTGGTCGAGTTCCCGATACTTAGAAGCGTTAGAGTTGCGGAAACTGAAAATATCAACGCCGAAAATCTCATTTATGGGGACGCTCAACAGATGCACCACGCCCAACAGATACGCCACGCCCAACAGATGCGCCACGACCGACAGATGCGTCACGCCCAACAAATGCGTCAAGCCCAAGAGATGCGTCACGCCCAACAGATGCACCACGTCCAACAGAAGTGCCACGCCCAACGGATGCGTCACGCCCCACAGATATGTCACGCATGGAGCGTGATTGCCGGGGGTCACTAAATAGCTTTAGCTCGTTCCAAAATCTAGAATGAAGACATAATGTTGTATTGATTTGAATAAACTTTTCTACCAAGTTGCACGGGCTTTAGGATAAAAATACATCACAATCTTGATCAAAATCGTAAAACATTTTTAAAAAAATATTTAATTTGAAGTATTTAACAGCACTCTTAACTATAAGCTCTTATAATGGATTAAGAAAAACGCTCGATACTGACCATTTTGGGCAAAGCATGAAAGTAACAGGGAGAAGAAGTGTATGTCGACTGCCAGCACCAACATCAATAGGACCACGAGGAACGGGTTAGCCATCAACAAGATGTCTTCCCCAAACAGAGGCGTGAACAAAAGAACCGCCGTCCCAGCGATGAGGATGCAGATCCAGATGAAGCTGAGTGTGAACCACGCCGACCAGTAAGCGTACTTGGTCATACCCATCAAAGACATGGATTCCTGTGAAGGAAAAAACCCAGTAAAAGCACATGGCCATATCCATTACAGCCATGGATTCCTGTAGGTTCAAAACCAGTAAGCGTACATGGCAATACCCATTACAGCCATGGATTCCTGTAGTTTCCAAACCAGTAGGCAGACATGGTCAAAAACACGCAGCCAATGTCAGCAATCCACGATTCATATTTTGTTGAAAGAAAGTGTTTACACGAATTCTCGGACATTGACCCGTTATCAGGCAACGAAAGCAAAATACCGGCTCGCGAAATTTAAAATAAAAATTGAAATCTTATCTTAGATCTGTGTTTATTTATTTATTTTTTGGTTGCCCTGAAACAAGCGCGCCGACTATTGTACCCGTCAGCGACTCAAAGTTTGCTCTCGAAACTGTGAGAAGGCGCTCGATGGAGTCCGCAATGATCATCTGTGAGAATGAGATGGATAGAGTCCGCAATGATCATCTGTGAGAAGGAGATGGACGGTGTCCGCAATGATCATCTGTGAGAAGGCTCTCGATGGAGTCCACAAATGATCATCTGTGAAAAGGAGATGGACGGAGTCCGCAATGATCATCAGTGAGGAGATGGATTGAGTCCGCATTGATCATCTGTGAGAAGGAGATGGACGACGTCGGCAATGACCATGTTTTGAGAAGGAGATGGACGGAGTCCGCAATGATAAATGCCATTCTTGAGATAGTAAATAACAACCGTGCACGTGTGGGCGTTGTCATGCTCCAATGGGTCCTTTGTCACACTGAGGTCACGCAAAACGGGCAAGCGCATACATACCCTTGTGCGATATTGGGGGGGGGGGCACAACCCCAATACTGACCGGCCCATGACTCAAAGGGTTAGGCAATGGTTAAGTTGGAAAACCACTTCCGCGAAGAATGGTTAAACGGCCGGATGGTTTGGGGTACATTACCTCGACTGAAACAAGATGTGACCGGGCAGAAGTGACCCGTAGTGGGAACTAAGTGTGTGAGTGTGGGGGGGAGGGGGTTGTGGGGTGGGGAAGACTCTTTTAACTCAACAAGCATTATGCCCACAATCGCACGATTTTAACATGGCATAGTTGTCTTTAACGTTCCCAAATTTACACTCCTACATGGCGTTTGCACTAACTTCAAAGCAAAGGGAATTTACTACTTAGAACGCGAATTATCATACAGACGTTATCAACACATTGATTTTAAGTAATAATCGCTGGCAAAACTTTGATCAGGAAACGTACATATGTGTATGTGAATGTTTGATGTTATTCGTCAAATAAGTATTCCTACAAAAATTGCTGAAATAGTTCTCCTAAAATATTTGTCCCATACCCCTACTCTCTCAAACATACCTTACATAAATCTCTCATCAAATTCATTCGACACATAAGCCTCTTAACTATCTTAGACATTGCCTTACCAAAATCTCCTATTTATGAAAAACAACTTAAACATAACTCTCTGTCCAGCAAATCCCCTTTCTATCTTAAATGTTCCATTTATAAATTTCCTTTGTATCTAAAACATTCTTTATATAAGTGTCCTCTTTGTAACATTCCTCTAATAAGGCACTTATTTGTAATACCCCTTTCACAAATACCCTCTCTGAAAAATTCGTCTCATAAATATCCTATCTGAAAAATCCCTCTCATAAATATCCTATCTGAGAAACTCATCTAATAAATATCTTAACTGAAATTTTCTCCTTATAATCTCCTGCCTATCCAACAATTTATCCAGGTCCATCTGAAATTCTTTCCTCACTTAAGTCTCCTCCCAGTATTTCAAACATCAAGCTGCTCCGTTAAAATGTGTATTTAATTGTAAACCAGGAAAGTCCCCATACTTTTTTTTACCTTCAGCTTCGCCTCTTTCTCGTGTACGAGTGCTTCACACCCTGTCACTGCCAGGAAGATGAACATGTCATAAAAATCAAACCAATCCATACGATCCATACGAAGAACGTTAATTTGTTGAGATTTACTTTCGGGCAGCCGAGCCGTGTACAAGCGGAGTCTCGTCAAGTTTGATCTGCTCTCACTCTGCTGCCAGGCACTGATGAACATCTGAGCCACGTACAACTGGGCCCGCGACACCCCGGCCGTCGAGTAATCTAAAAGCAACAGCAGCAGAGATGGGAGTATCAGCTATACACGAGCGTAAAGTGACAAAGGCTATCCTAGTTAAATACATTTTAGATTTTAATCTTTCTTGTAGTGTTTTATCGAGGAGGAAAAATATCCACAAAGGCTAAGTCGAAATTTTTCTGACATGGTTCCTATCTGCCACGATTATCACATGACTTCAACCGACAATAGACCAGCAAAGGACTAATATTTCACCGATGAAATAGTGTAAAATAAATTTAAAATTTTATTATGTTGACGATACCAAAATTATATAATATATTTTATTATTTATAAATTAATAGAAATAATATAGAAACCCCGTTTTTTTTCCTCTATCCTTGTTTTTTTACGTGCCGCTAAATAGTTAACAAGATTTTTTTTATTTTTGCAGAGTCTGATCAAGAACTTACTTCCTATCAATCTAATGTTTTTTGACGGGTCACTAACTATTTAGAATAATGTTGCGAAATCAGAGCAAGCACTTCCTTCCCATGATTCTCTTTTTACGCAATGATAGCCCTGATTTTTTGACATCAGAGCAAGCACTTCCTTCCCGTGAATCTCTCTTTACGCAATGATAGCCTTGATTTGTTGACATCAGAGCAAGCACTTCCTTCCCATGATTCTCTTTTTACGCAATGATAGCCTTGATTTGTTGACATCAGAGCAAGCACTTCCTTCCCGTGAATCTCTTTTTACGCAATGATAGCCTTGATTTTTTGACATCAGAGCAAGCACTTCCTCCCCATGATTCTCTTTTTACGCAATGATAGCCTTGATTTGTTGACATCAGAGCAAGCACTTCCTTCCCGTGAATCTCTTTTTACGCAATGTTAGCCTTGATTTTTTGACATCAGAGCAAGCACTTCCTCCCCATGATTCTCTTTTTCCGCAATGATAGCCTTGATTTGTTGACATCAGAGCAAGCACTTCCTTCCCGTGAATCTCTTTTTACGCAATGTTAGCCTTGATTTTTTGACATCAGAGCAAGCACTTCCTCCCCATGATTCTCTTTTTACGCAATGATAGCCTTGATTTTTTGACATCAGAGCAAGCACTTCCTTCCCGTGAATCTCTTTTTACGCAATGTTAGCCTTGATTTTTTGACTAGCCTTGATTTTTTGACATCAGAGCAAGCACTTCCTTCCCGTGAATCTCTTTTTACGCAATGTTAGCCTTGATTTTTTGACATCAGAGCAAGCACTTCCTTCCCGTGAATCTCTTTTTACGCAATGATAGCCTTGATTTTTTGACATCAGAGCAAGCACTTCCTCCCCATGATTCTCTTTTTACGCAATGATAGCCTTGATTTTTTGACATCAGAGCAAGCACTTCCTCCCCATGATTCTCTTTTTACGCAATGATAGCCTTGATTTGTTGACATCAGAGCAAGCACTTCCTCCCCATGATTCTCTTTTTACGCAATGATAGCCCTGATTTGTTGACATCCGGAAAGAGCGTCTCTGTTTTATCACGTGGGTGTTTTAAAAATTCATCGTTTACAGAACTTAAACTAGTGTTTGGTCATTGAACAAACTCGTGTTGGACGATGGAACAAACTCATGGTGGACGATGGAGCAAACTCGTGGTGGACGATGGAACAAACTCGTGGTGGACGATGAAACAAACTCGTGGTGGACGATGAAACAAATTCGTGGCGGACAATGGAACAAACTCGTGGTGGACGATGGAACAAACACGTGGTGGACGATGGAACAAACTCGTGGTGGACGATGGAACAAACTCACCAAAGGCAAAGCCCGACTCTCTCTCATCCTCCATGGTGTGGTCGATTGATAATTTCAGCTTCAAATGTTTGGGTAATCTTTCGCCTGCACAGGAGTCATTATCGAATATCACTATCGGGCCCTTGTTTTTAGTTTGGTCTTTATACCTTTTGGCTGCCTCAATGGAGTCAAAGCCCAAGAAGGACACTGAAACTGAATTAAAAAAACAAACAAACATGTTTCTGTCACCAATTTTATTTAGGGCAACATGACTCTGTCGTTGAACTTGTCAGCGACTGGATGTGACCATCCTTAAACGACACCATAGGAACATGTCTCAATCCCTTGTCACAAAGTCTTCAAATAGACACTTTTTTCTTTAATGAATAAATCCAATAAATATATGACTATGTCAAACGTGTTTCAATGACCTATTGTCTCTGTCACTAAACGTTTTCATGACATAATTTTGCTGTCACTAAGTGTTTCAATGACCAAATATCTGTCACAAAGTGTTTCAATGACCAAATATCTGTCACAATGTGTTTCAATGACCAAAAATCTGTCACAAAGTTCTTCAAATACCAAGTATATGTCACAAAGAGTTTTAATGACCAAATATCTGTCACAAAGTGTTTTAATGACCAATATCTGTCACAAAGTGTTTCAATGACCAAATATCTGTCACAATGTGTTTCAATGAACTAAAATCTGTAACAAAGTTCTTCAAATACCAAGTATCTGTCACAAAGAGTTTTAATGACCAAAAATTGTGTTTTAATGATACATACGATTTCCTGTCACACTGGTGTCAATAATTGTATCTTTTTCAAAATGTCAACAAGGGTTTTAACAAACAAACGCCTCTGCTTTGTTAACAAATAAAAATAATTAATGCGTAAACTAAATCGACTTTTTGTTATATCATGTCCCTGTCATGTCTCTGTCATGTCCCTGTCAGGTCCCGTCAAATTACGTCATCTCCCTGTCATGTCCCTGTCATGTCCATGGCATGTCCCTGTCATGCACATGTCATGTCCTTGTCATGTCCCTTCAAATGTCATCATGTCACATTATGTCCCGTTATATCCACCGATGTCCCTGTCATGGCTCTGCCATGTCCCTGTCAGGTCCCGTCATATGTCGTCATGTCCCTGTCATGTCCCTGTCATGGCTCTGCCATGTATTATCAACTGTTAAACTTCAACTCTATTTTTTCAAATGAATGGTCTTTTTAAAAAAAAATTATAACACAACACATTACCTATATTGAAAACAGATTGACATAACACATCACCTATAGTGAAAACAGACTGACATAAAACATCACCTACATTGAAAACTGAATGACTTAATATTTTACCAATATTGAAAAAAGTCTGACATAACACATTACCTGTAATGAAAACAATTTGACATAACACATTACCTGTAATGAAAACAATTTGACATAACACATTACCTGTAATGAAAACAATTTGACATAACACATTACCTGTAATGAAAACAATCTGACATAGCACATTACCTGTAATGAAAACAATCTGACATAGCACATTACCTATATTACGACCATCTCCAACCTCGAACATTTTCCTCACAGCTGGACAGTCCGGTGTATATGGAATAACACTACCTAAGTTAGTCTCCTCGGACTCCACATCCGTAATAGGGTAAAACTGATCTGTGAACTTGGTTTTCCCGATTCGAGTTTTAGCCACGATAAAAAAAATCCAAGTAAGTATTGGTATGCCTGTGACGAGGAAATGAACAGATTTTTTCAAGACTCTTTTGGGCATAATTTTGAATGGACTTTTTGAGGGATGGGAAACATTAAAATGTTTTCTTATAAGTGATAAAAAAAAAACATGTATTTTGAAAATATTTAAAACCTTAGGTGGCATGTACTACACTAACACATCAGCGGGTGCTTAACTGAGCAACCTCAGTTGGTTCTCAACTAAACCCCGTCCACAGGTGCTCAAATGAACACCATGCACTGGTACTTAAACGAACCACATAATCTGGTGTTCCACTCAACCACATACACTGGTGCTCAAATGAACCATATTAGCTGATGCTCAACTCACCCACATCCATTGGTGCTCATCCGAACCCAATCCACTTTTACTCAACCGAACCAAATAAGCTGGGGCTCCACTCAACCACATACACCGGTGCTCCGCTAACCCACATCCGCTGGTGCTCCACTTAACCACATCAGCTTGTACTCCACTAACCCACATACACTGGTGCTCAACTGAACCCGTCAGCTGGTGCTCAACTGAACCCCATAAGCTGGTACTCCACTGAACAACATCAGCTTGTGCTCCACTAACCCACATCAGCTGGTGCTCAACTGAACCATATCAGCTGGTGCTCTACTAAACCACATCAGCTGGTTTTCAACTGAACCATATCAGCCGGTGCTCAACTGAATTACATCAGCTGTTGCTCAACTGAGCCAAATCAGCTGGTGCTCAACTGAACCAAATCAGCTGGTGCCTCACTCACCCAAATCAGTTAGTGCGCCACTCATACATATCAGCTGCTGCAACACTAACCCACATCAGCTTGTGCCCCAATCACTCACTAAGGCTTTGATGAACCAATCCACCTCAGCTGTGACTGTAATGACCCACTTTGAACTGAACCTCTAGGGTCGAGGGTGGGGGAGGGGCAATGGGTGACCACCCAGGTAAAACTATGGGGGGGGGGACAACTTCTGTTTAAATCAGTGGTTCTTATCCTGGGTTCGATCGAACCCTAGGGGTTCGGTGAGTCAGTCTCAAGGGTTCGGCGGAGGTCCAAAAAAATCAGAAAAAAATCTTATTTTATTTTTCCAATTAAGAAGGGTTCACTGAACTGGTGGGGTTCAGTACCTTCAACAAGGTTAAGAACCACTGGTTTAAATATTAGAAATAGAGCGTTATTGAATTTTATCTATGAATGAAGAAACTACTTTTCGTGGTACTGACTGTACAATCGTGATTGTTTATCTTTTTTTTTTCTCTTGCCATTTTGCTAATGTTAAAATTTCAATGAAAAAATTGGCGAATTAAAAACCAAACTCTTCAGGCAATTTACAGCGATGCATACTTTGTTTTGTTACTTTTAGGATACT